TTCTTAGTATACCTGTAATTCTTTAAATTAAATATGTCCTATGTTAATTTACCTGAACTGTTATGCTGTACTGTTCTCCAGCATTTAACTTCCCAGTGGTTTCAATCACACCAGTTTTGGGATCTATTTTAAATTTCTGTCTTCCATTGTTTGAAACATGGTAAATACTGTATGTAATCTCAGCATTTTCACCTAAGTCAGCATCAGTGGCGTCCATCTAGAAAATAAACACATTAATACTATATATATTCAATCTGAAGGCACGTTTATGGCCTCTATTCCATACCACTTCCATTTTATGTTGATTGTCATGGTTTGGGTGATAATGTCATAACCACCACCAAGATACTGTCCACAGATGACGAGAAAAGCCCTGCTGGGGGAAGTCGTTTCTGGTGCAGTGCGGGGGGAATGTTTACTATCAGCTGGACTAGAGGGCTGCTATTGGTGGGAAGTGTGATACGTCAGAGAGTTATGCTACTACACACAGACTAAAAACATCAAGCAGTTAAGAGTAGCGTGTAGTGAGTGCACTTGTAATGTGTTCTGTGGGTGTTGCGATAATATTCTAGATTAAATCGCTGTGCCTCTGTGAGGTAATCTTAAAGCTGTACCCATTAGAACACGTGAAAGCCTGTCGTCTGTTGTTCGTTCAGTGGTTGTGGAACGAATGCTTTTAGGATCGGTCGTCACTCACCGCGAAATCTTGCGCATGCACGTATATCGAATTCCTAGCAGGGATTTTCTCCTGATCTGTGGACTGTATTCACTACAGTGAAAATCTCAAGAGCCATAAAATTCTGTTTTAGCGAACATAGAAATAAAATTTAATTTCTACACAACTTGCCTATAACAGTTAGTCTGGTAAGACTTCGATTGCATTATTTTCGGTGTACTACCGCAAACGAACAAAAGAAAACATTTGTTATATTTCAATTCATAGAAGATAAAATATTCCAACTACCAATGAAATATTTCTTATAACCAGAATGAGGAATTTATAAGCTTGTAAAAATTATAACAAGTAACAGATTTCTGTCTTCGGTGAACAAGTTCATGGAGGCAAGGGCCCGCCATTGTCTCATATATGAGACTCAGACCAAGACTTATCAAAATTAAAATAAAATTAATTTAAGCATTTGTGACTGCTTACCTTAATCACAGGCTGCTTGGTTTCTCCTGCTTGTACTGTTAGAGGTGGTATCATGGGTAATTTTGGTGCATTGTCATTCACATCGTTGAGGGAGACGGACATAGAGAGTGGAGCGCTAGCAGCATTTCCTGTCTTTTCTCTGGCAACAATCTGATAAAAAATAAATACTTATGAAAGTATAATGAAGGAATATTAGAAATACGTTCTACCATCTGCTAACATAGAACAGAATTCAACAATCTTAATTAATGTATGGTTAAGAGCCGATTACAGTCACTCTTCACAGATAAATGCAATGTGACATTTAGGGTAACTAAAAAACTTTAATTGTCAGTTCTAGGCAGAAAAGTGATTTCATTCTTACCATCAAGTCTAAGAACGTAGACTTTATGTAGGTAATAGCAGTTATAGTATAAAATTACAAACTTGGCACCAAAGTAAATTTTTAGATTAAGCCAGGCAAATTTCTTGAAAAAGCAATTCATATTAGTGGACAATGCATACATAACTATGTTGCTATAAACATACTTAATAATTTATTATTTTTAGCACCCTCTGCATACAAGAGGAAGTAATTAAGAATTCAATTTATATATCTACAAATTTGATTTATTTAATTTTATCACGACAATGGTCTCAAATTGCAGTAAATGAACACAACTTTTTTAAATTTAATTTTTAGTAACTCATAATCTACATCTAACACAATGACAAGTGTATGTGCATGTGCATAAAATTTGGAGCTGTAAGGGAGCTTTTCACATTTGTTAATCCATTACATCTACAAAACTTCTCTTTCTCATTCACAGTCACAGCCAACCAACCATCCACACACGTGCACACACCCACGAATGTGCACGAGCAGATTCAACAAGTGGCGGCTGAAGCACTACGCAGTAAGTACCTGAAATCGGAATGTCCCTGGACTAGGCGGATCTCTGTCAAGATTTTCTACATTTACTACGAGGTAACCATCGTTATCAATTGTGAAGAAAGAAGTTGTCATTTCAAATGAATAGGAAGGCTTTGGATCTTCTGGTCCCTGTAAACATAAAATATTTTACATCAGTTTGACTGTAAAGACAAGAATTAAATTATCAACATCATTATCAAGGAAGTAGCGGGCGCAGTGGCCACGTGGTCTGAGGCATGGACCTCGTGCGACTGGCCGCCGCGACCGTGGGTTCGAGTCCCACTCAAAGCATGGATGTTTGTCCCCGTATTTCTGTGTTTGTATAGGTAGAAGCCTTGCAGATAGGGCTGATCACTCATGCAAGGAGTTCTACCAATGTCCAAAAAATAGATCAATCATAAAGATCCAAGAGAGGTAAAAATGCAGAACCTGCAGCTGCGGGACAAATGCAAATGAAGAAGAAAAAATTATCAAGGAAGTAACTTAACAAGCGTCTTTATTTTTACTGTTTAAATTAATGGGGTACTTCTTTTTACTTACATATTAATCGACACACACTGAAAATTAGTGCATATTTTTATTCTTACCAAGTCTTCATCACTGACTGTCAATCTGATTGGATTTCCATTCTTATCAACGACTTTTGTTCCGACTGGAGCATTCTCATCCGCAAAACCTTCAGTGGCTGATGCATTGATCACAGGAGGGTTGCTGTCTACAGGTTTTACAGTGACGAACAATTTAGCTGTTGCAGATCTTTTCTGCTCACTTGCTTCTTCAGCCTAAAAAAGCATAAAATAAATATTTTGCAATTAATATAAATTTCAAGGTTATACAATCTGCATAGTATATGAAATCCTACAACATGTATATTCTATCTCTGAATATGTAATCATTACTGAAAAAAAAAATCTGAGTTTTGAACTGTGTCATTATCGTGCCCAGAATGGTTCTGAAGCCACGATGCTTTCAACTTTTCATACAAGACAGTGATTAGAGTCAAAATTATTAATACGAAATTATCTATCGTCTGTTGAACTGAACTAATAAAACGAAACATACATGAAAATAGAGATTTTTGTGGTTTAGTCGAGGAAACTGAATTAAATACATGCAGTACGCACTTTACAAAATTTCACTCATATAATTTTTATACTGAAGCGCATGCCGTCCATTTGGTTTATCATCTGAATGTGAACTCTTTCAGCCAAAAATGCAAATGAAAGATGCAACATCGCCCAATCAGTCGGACCAAGGAAAGTAAAGGTCGGATTTCAGGTTTTCACATCGGCGAGTCTGAAGATTGCCGTCTTCTGGACTGTTGTTGTGCTGCGTAGTCTGGTAGAAGTATACATCAGGGCAATGATGGCGGCAGCAAGGACTTCTGAAACGTCGGTATACTTCTACCAGACTACACGGCGTAACAACCCAGAGGACAGAAATCTTCAGACTAAAGGTCAGTTCCCCTTATTTTGTGCTTTGTGAAAGATTCTGCTGTATTTTGTGTAGCGTGCATTTTATCTGATATATTTCTGTTGCTTTATATTTAGTCTCAAACTTTCTTTTTATTCGGAAATGTAACCCCCAATTACAACATTGCACATATGGGAAATTGTGACTTTCTTTGTGAAATTTTGCTTTATAAACTCTCTCCAGGAACTTGACAATTCATACGAATGGAGACTGACCGTACATTACATTCCTACCTTCACAATTATTTCAAACTTCTTTGTGATGCTTGTATCAACTGCTCTTATCTGCCGGACCGCTCCTGTCTGTTCGTCAATCTCGAAATAATCTTTGTATGAGGATGGTGTGCCACTCAAAAAGCTGTACTTGATTGGTGCATTTATGGAGTCCATATCAATTGCTTGAATCTTCTCTGGTGAAATATTGAGAATTCCAGCCAGTTTTCCACTTGATACCTGCGAACATTTATTTAATACATTTTAAGTCTCATTAAACTTTTCTTCATCAAAGCTTCTCTGCAGACATTTGAAATTTATTACAAAATATTCTATTGTAAATTAAACAAATATTGCAAAAATGATTATACATTTAACAAATTACTAATGGGAAAGATGGAAACTGATAAAAATGTCATATTCAATGAAGGTTGGGACAATGGCTGACATTTCTTGTTTGAACTTACCGATGTTGAATATTCTGGATTGATGCAAGATCCTTCATGGTACATGCATCCTTGGTATATGAAAGATGGGTTTTGATCATCATCATCACGGACGTTCACTGTTAATGTGGTGGTTGTTGAGAATCGTTCTGACACATTCCTGGCACGATCCTGGTCAACAGAAATTAAGAACATGCATTTCAATTATTGATACCTTAGCCCTTTAGCGATGGCAGGCATTCAAATGATGTTCTACCCTATGAAAATAGGAGATTTAAATCCCATATACTGGGTCTATACCACGTGTAGAAGTCGATGATATGTGATGAAACTGAAGTCAGTACAGTATATATGAAGGTTGGCAATGAAAGGTTAAAGAATGTTTCTCTCCATATACTCAAACAATGAAGAAACCCCCTATGCTTTGTGGATCCCAAAGACTCAGTACCTGTTTATAGCAGTCTGCCACTGAGCCGGTTGAAACCTGTCCAAAGTAACAAATTTCATTTTAAGGTTATCTTCCCATCCACTTCTAGGCGTTTTAATTTGAGTCTTTCTGCCAAGTTTTTCAACTAGACTCTATTATGCATTTTTCATCTCCATCTAAATTTTCTGCCTATCTCCATCGTCCTTCCTTTGATAACACTTCGTGTCACTTCCTGTGTTACGCTGTATATTAATATCATTTTCAAAGTTTGTATCGTCTGTTCCCTCCAATTGTTCGTTTCTTCAACACTGTTCCTGCAGAGCACCAGATGGCAGAGTGGTTGTGAATGAGATTAAGGAAGCGGCCATGTTAAAGTAGAGAAATCTCAGTAGAAAACCATCTGAAGTAAAGCTGTCCGCTGTCCGACATGCTGGCGCTTGGGGGGCGGGAGAGGAAGTTAGTATATAGCTCCTACTCATTCTTAACCTCGGCACTATATTGGGGTGAGTGGTCAGCGTCACGCCACGGCCGCACTTTCCTTCCCGGGAAAGGACACAGGTATCCATTAGACAAGAGGTTGGGTGGGCCATTATTTCAATTGACAAATCCCACCACCCCTCCAACCCACTCATTTAAGCCTTTAATACACTGGCATGGAACCTGAGGTTCAATACCGCCATCCTATTGGTTCATCGTTCTCGGTACAGCAATGGCAGTTTCAAGTGGTTACATTTCAGTCTTGTTTATATTAAATACATAGGCCCTTTAATTCTGCGTCGTCTTTGTCGCCATAAAGCAGGGAGCTTTTCAGCCATTATTAAACCGAGCACAACCAACCAATAGGATGGCGGCATACATAGCTATAGTTTCCATGCCAATATAAGGGGTGCTTATAAACACCTCGAAGAAGATAGGTTAGGATTCTAGTATTCAGGTCCAGAATCGAACCCAAGCACTTCCGAAACCAAAGTAGGAGCCAACGACCTTATTATTTACATTTGCACGTTACACGCGTAAGTGTTAAATTATGGTGGGTGGAAAAGCATAGATTGTGGTTGTCTGAGGAGAATATTTGGACCTAAGAGAGAGAGCTAATATGCTGTTTTCGGAAGGCTAACGAATGCATGAGGAGCCTCAAAATTTAAAATATTCTCTAAATACTATTACCATATTTGATAGTCAGTTTGTTTAATATCTGTTATCCCTAAATGGTTTCTTGGAAAAAATTTGGGCACTTCTTCTAAAACTCTTGGTACATTTCAGACACCAATAGGTTAATTCAGTCAGTCAAAATTATTTAAGCGACGTAAGTTACTGCTATAACAGTTAGGCCACAGAGAATTGTAAACAAGTTATGGGCCATTGGGCCCGTATTTCAAAACAGAACTACGTGCCGAAAGTGAAAAGTTTGTAGTATTGATTAATGTAAACAAGTTGAAGGTGAGAGCAATTACGTCTTCTCAGGTGATCACTGCGTGAACATGGAGTAAGCTACCAACGTTTCGGAGCCTGGTTTTCCCCTCGATCATCAACGGTAAAAGTAAAGTAAAGTTTGTCCCACTATACGCCATGTAGGCGCTTGGGGGGAGTGGAGGTATAGCTCCTCTCTTCCTTGACCTCGGCACTAGATGGGGGTGAGGGGTCAGCATCACGCCCCGGCCGGCTTTACCTCCAGGAAAGGACCCCGATACCCATTGTAGAGGAGGCTGGGTGGGCCCCAGAGCCGGTCTGGACGCAGAGGCTAGAGGAAAAAAAAAAATCCTCGGCCCCCCGGTCGTCCAGCCCGTAGCCAGTCACTATACTGAATGAGCTACGCCGGCTCATCCATCATCCTGGGCTGATGCTTTAAATATTACATGCAGGCGGTAAGATCTTC